ACTTCCCAACAAAAGGACAAAATACACTGTTTGTCATTGCCCTAAGTTGGTAATTTGTAATCATTCCAAAAAGTATTTTCAGATCTGCCACTGCCATGGTTATGATTAAAGTTTATGATTCAGTTGGGTTACGGTTCAGACACAAGAATTACTTTTGGTTAGGGAAATATTATGTTGGAGGTTAAAACAAAACAACAATGACTGTTGGTAGGAAACAGGAAATGAAAAGTAGTCTCCCATGCCCAAGTCACACGCTTTGCTGACTAATCCATCCACTCAGACTTCTCCCAACAAGGCTTAGCAGCTTAAACAACGTCATGCTGTTTATGCTTTTGTCACTGACAAACAAGATTCCTAATTTACACGGTAACTAGAGGTCCTTGTCAGTTAACTTGAACATAGGTCTACGCATTGTACTTGAAAAATAAGCATTTCTGTGTTTTTCAACACATCATAGTTAAAAAAAAGACATCAGCCTGTTTCACTGTAACACTTCTGATGTAAAAGCAAGATTAGAAATGTGCTTTATTGTGTATTAGAAAACCGATGAATTTGGGACTAATAGTAGTCTCCAATCCTGTGTTTTGAATTGTAATCATGAGCCCCGGGTTCACATTTTTACTGGACCTTTAAAGAACTACTTTTGGTTATACCTTTCCTTTCTGGACAGTTTTTTGTTTGGTGGTGTATTTTTACTCATTTCCAGCTGCAACAATAGAATTTCTAAAACATCATTGGAAAACATCAAGCTTTGCTGTGAGTCACTCAGAATCAAAGAGCCGAGGGGTTATTACAAATCTCACAATTCTGCATCGACATAAATAGTCAAACAGGGAGAAATCCATCATAGAAGGTGCACAGAGACTAATTTCTCCACCTACAGTTGCCCCAGTAATGCAATATAATACAATATTGTGCAATACAAAACATACATGTGGAAAACAGACACAACAGAAACACATCTGAATGGGTGCGCATGGAGGTTCATTCTTGGCCTTGGGAACATGTGCTGGAATAAAAATTACTGACTATTAATAAAAAGCTATACCCAAAGCTTTCAGCTGTGTAGGGTGGCAGCTGAAGTCTGAGCTATGAAGATATCGAAACATGAGCAAAGAAAACCCAACGTATCTGCACAGCTGGATACAGTTAGGAGACATTTGGATTAATTTTTTTGGCTGAACTGACCTTCTGTACTGTCTAGAAATAGATCCCCTCAGTGCTGAGCAGATCTATTATATTTGGTATCAGATGAGGTCTGACTGTGAACTGACAGATCCAAGAAGCCCAGTAAAAGACGCACCAGACCTCAAGTACGTTATGAAAGTCACGTGACATTAAACAAATGGTTAACATCATGAAACAGTCCCAGTTTGTTTAGTTTAGGCAACAAACCTACTTGGTTAGGTTTTGGAAAAGATTGTGGTTTGGGTTGAAATAAGTATGTTGAGTAATCATGTGACGTAAGTTAGTAACGCCATTTAACAAAACTTTGAATGTCTTTGACTTGGTTTCAGATGGACTCGCACAGATGAAAGTCCTGTGTTTGTTTGATCATCCATCCACCCTATTACATGGACCTTCTGGCTCTTTTTACTACATCACCTGATCTCCTCCTTTGTTACCATCATACGGGCCACTAGAGGACACAGGCTATCAATAAATGTAATACGGGTTTTATTAAGCTACATGAACAATCGACCTATACGGCCGTTTTTCTGGTGTGGACGGGCTACACAGATCATAGGCTTATGTATTGTTTGTTGGCTGGTGTCGTTTAACTGGTGACAGACAGGAAGATTGTTTATGTTTCTAGTCTGTGTTGTGTGTGCAGTCATTATTGGATGGAAGTTTGGCCCACGTGTGTGTACTGTATTGGACACATTTAGACAAATGAAAATGAATCTGTGTGTACATTCTGCATAAGTCTGGATGTTGTATGTGACCTTTTGGAGTATGCATGCACCACTTATGTGTGTATGAGTGTGTGTGTGTGTGTGTGAATGCACACGGGGGGTGGAATAGGTACACAAAACCACGTTAGAGCTGTCACAAGCAGAGCTGAAATTGGATTAGTGTCACCCGTGATAAGGCAAAGGGGTGAAAGAGGGAAGAGGAGAAAATTGGAAGAAAGGAAACGGCTATTTCACCACCACTACTTCACTCTCCACCTCCACCATAATTTCATTTCAAATTCCAGGCACTGAATGCATAAACGCACTGCCATGCAGTTATGGAGCCGGCTGAAGTTAATGGAATATTTATATGCCGACTGTGGCACCCTGAATTTCCTTTCTTTTCCCAACAACATGCAACCCCCCCGCCCCCCCATCTCTCGTTCTAGAATTGCATTTGTTAGGATTTGACACTATTTTTACACCTCCAACAGCAATGTATTTCCATCGGCTGCAGTTAAGAGTGCCTGTAGAGAGACAGAGTGAATGTGAGCAACTTTTGGTCAGGTGATATTAGCCTCACTGGACTGTACCATGCAGAAATCATGGCCAAAGGAGTAACAACAGACAACCCCTCATCACATACTTTTTAAACAGATGTGGAAGATTCAATTTATGCTAATGCAGAGAGACACACAGAGGGAAGACACAGCTGTACCCATGCATGTGACCAGGAGCGGCGGGTGCACTTTTGACACTGTAGGTGAAAAACAATTATGCTGCCCCCCTATTTGCAACATACCATACCAGCAACAAAATAAATAAAATATATAGGCTTTTTGTAGATCCATATACATATAATGCACCAAACAAGTCTGCATTAATAACTCCAATATGGTTCCAAATACCATACAGCACAGTCATGACAACACGTATACATATTGTCCAAATAATCCAATTTCAGCTCATCAAACGAAATAATACCAGTGCAAATCTCTTCTTTATACCACTTTCATGTGCGCAAGAACCGTAACAACAACAATCTGGGCTGATATCGCCTAAATGTTGCATTAAATAATGATGGATGGAATAACTGAAGGCTGGAGAGAGCCAGCATCACAGGAGAGCAGGTCTATATAGAGAAACTGAAAAGAGAAAAGAAGCAGGTGAAGTAAAAAATGTTGGGGAAAAGATAGAGATGCTGACAGGTGAAACTGAAAAGACACGGAGAGGGAAGAAGCAGCGAGGGAAGGGAGGGGGAAGAAATCCCAGAGGAGCTATAACTACAGCGAGAGAGGCCCCTGGTTGCTGCATAAAGCCACAATAAATGCCCCAACATTGTTAGCATTCAGCTAGCGTAGCATTATAGCCCAGCTCCTGGTGTGTCTATACTAAAACCAATAAGAGGGAGGTATCATGGGATTTTGCTGGAGAAATATGGCACATTCTTTTGCAGTAAGGGGGGTGCTGGGTGCTGATAGAAGGGATTGAGAGATAGGATGCCTGGGATACGGATAGACTCCCATTAAGTATTCAGCCACGGGGTCACAACAGTTACAGCTCCTCTACAGAGGCAGAGATTTCCATTTTGCTACATTCTAGTATTCATCCCTGTTGCTTTTGTGCAGTCACAGTCCTGCTACACCGAAGGGATTTACAATTTTATCTGGAGGGGCTGTTGGTGGTAAACAATAAGAAGCAGTTTACAGCGTGAGTTTGTCACCCAATAACTTCTGACTCAGTCGAAATGCTCAAATAACCTGTTTGCGCTGCGAGAGGATGCTTTAATAAATGTCCCATGTTTGAATAGTGAGCTCTTTTCCTGCTTTGGCGATATAAAAATGATATCAACCCCTCACATTTTGCTGGAGTTGGATAGGTCTGACTATGCATGGTTCCCTTCAGTGACCCAATACTCCACAGAGATTGGATCTCCCCTCCGTTAGGCAGACTGAGCCTTTAACAGATGGAGGTTTAACAAGCAGGGACTGACTGACAAACATATGAGTATGAGTGAAAAATACACCACGTGTGTTGGAGGAACAGGAAAACAGGGATGTGTGCATCTGTGTGTGTTGTATTGTTCACATCAAACAATGGGAGGGAGTAGTACCTTAGCTCCCCGTTAGCGTACAAAAACGACATGAATGGACACCTTTTCAAACGACGACACCTCTCTCTTTGTGGGAAAGAAGGAAGGCAGGGTGTAATATTGGCGGAGCGAAAGAAGATGAGTCATGTCATCTTTAATGAAAGCACCTGTGGCATCTGTTAGGAGCGGTGGTTGGCACCATCAGCACATTGTTATCTCCCCTCTGTTCCCCGGCTAAGAGGCAGCAGAGGGCCTCCCAAGCCGTCGTGTGGCACCAACGCACTAGAGGCCATTAAAGAAAGGAAGCAGCACCTGGCAAATAGAAGAACACAGGGGAGAGGAAATGGAGGGAGAAAGAAGCAAAAAGCCACACAAGAAATGGAACAGAGAGCGGCTCATTATCACTCAGAGCAGGTATTACAGGCTATGTCGGTACCTTTGGTTCCCTAGAGGAGTGTAGGTGTGACGGGGAAATCGGTGGCTGGAAAAATTAATTCTGGCTGAAAGTGTTTTCTTAATTAGATGTCTTCATGGTAGGTGAGAGCCTCCTAACCTTCCAGGTCACAATATAAATATAAAAAAGTAAAGTTTTCATTGTCCATGACCAAATCAGTTTTTTTTATGGGGGGAAATTATGTTTTGAATCAGGTATGTGTATTTTCCAAGAAGACAGACGTAAAAGGCCACAAATGTCATAAAATAACAGATTGCCTGTTCTTCCTTGTCTTGACTCACCGAAAGGCCAGAGTCACACATTTCTTCTCATTTTCAAGCTCATATTCTCCAGCAGAAGATAAACGAGTCATAGATCAAGGGTGTTGTAACAGTGCCCCCTGGTGGACACGAAGATTTACCTTCAATTTGCAGATGCTCTGTATGTGACCTCACTTAGACATGGTGAAGCAATCACACTGGTTAACAGTTGTTTAATAAACCTCTTGTTTTATTATATATGTCTGATTTTATGACGACAAATTTCTTTTTAAACACAGAAGTAGTTTCTGCAAGTCAAAACAAACACCATGACATGAGTCAGAACACCAATGTTTGTCACATTTCAACCTACACTGATCAGTGGAGGATAATGGCAGCCTTAACAGAAGACCTAAATGGTTTGAAAGGATTTATTTAGCTTCACTTCACAAAACAACAAACAATCCAAAACCTTTCAAATGCCAATCTCAACACAATGCCTGTCAGTTTAATGCGCACCTGACCGTAATTATGCAAATTTCAGATAATTAGCCAAGAAACCTGGCAGCCCTAATGAGATGTTGCAAAAGAGTACAGGCTAATTTTGGTTAATGAATCTCACATTGTGCGATCCTGTTTACATAACACAGAAACTACATGTCTTTTTTTAAGGGATTCCCACACAGCCACCCACTGACTAAATCTCTTTACAAATACCTTACAAATTACACCCAGTATGCCCGTTCGTACAGCCGAGCCTGAAAAACATTTTTATTTAATCTATTATTTTCTACCTGCCAGAAACATGCCTTGGTGCTGCTATTTTGGCCCAGGTCACCTGTTGACCTGACAGGCAAGTGTCAGGGGAGAGCACATATGTCAACTGCAGGTGGAAACTCTCAGCAGGGAACGATGCTGTGGCACTGGTTGGCACAGTGGGAGCCCAGGATAACACACCACTGAGGGACTGCAGGTAAGGGAACTTCTCTTTTCACCATCACATCCTGTTTTTGGTTTAATTTAATGTGTTTTACTGTAGTTAACTGTTGGGATGGGAGCATAAGTGCAGCCTGATTTCCCTGTGATGTTTTTTCAGTAGCTCATATTTGCCACAGTGGGGAAATTTTATTGTAAGTGTAGAACAAAGCAGCAGCAGACACGCAGTTTTTTAACACAAGAAATACTTCCCTTCTGAGAATCTAGCTCTTTTCTCAGATGTAGCGGAGGTTTCACGAGGTTGTGTGTGACAAAAGCATATTTCCTTCTTTCCTTCCGTACATGCAGGTTGATAAAACAAAGTATGCCTTTAAATGTTCTTTTAACACAGCAATAAACCTTTACACACGCAAGCTAAATGGCTTATTTTAATCTCATGATAAGACAGTGGAAAAGGTCAAAGCAAGAATGGATTTTAAGAGGTTCTCCCATCAGTGATATTCTAAAATGCTGACCATAACAAAGGTGACTCCAACCTGTATTTTGGATCTGTAAATGCTTCCCCTTGCCTCTCCTCAGCTAAGCAGTTAACTTCGGCATCAGTCTGGAGGTTTCCAACCCTCTGAAGATGTACGGCCTGTATTTGGAAGCAGTGAATGATTACATTAATGAATCCTATGGAGAGGATGTGTGGAGACTGATTGAGAACCGAGCAGAAATACCCCACCTCAAGTTTGTCAGACATCAGATGTACAAGTAGGTTGGTGTTTTTGTAAATCATGTTTTCCCCATTATACTGTGGAGACACAATGTGACACACACTGAGAACTGGCATAACAGCACGGCAGCCTTGCAATGCTTAGACTATTGCTCAGTTCAAATACAACACTTTGAAACCTGAAAAAAATGCAGTACATTTGCTGCCAGACACATTTATGACTATGACTACTTAGGAGCATACGCATTGTAGTCTGGAGCTGGACCGCTGACTAGATGTTGTTCACTACGAAGATGCACTTCCACAAGATGAACACAATGTCATAATCAGCTGTACAATGTAGCGCAATTTAGCACAGTAGTTCAATAATTATGTATTTGTAAAGCTTGCATTGTTCACATTTTGTTCCATTCTGAGACTGCATGATGTTGTGCTGCATTTGATTTTGATTGACTGAGATTATTAAAGGTTTCACATGGTGTTGTTTCTGTTTTTGGCCATGTCTCTACTGAAAAGCCGATTTTAAAATCTCACTGGGACAGCTAAGCAAGAATAATTCAAAATAAAACGTTAATCAAAAACTTTCCTCCTCGTTCACAGTGACAACCTGATCCTGAGGTTGGCAAAGGCAGCAGGCGAGGTTCTCGGAAAGACACATGATGAGCTGATGTACGCTTTCGGAGTCTATATGGTCAAGAGGATTGGAAACTACGGATATGAGCGGATCCTAAAGGTGATATGTTGTTTTCTTTGTGTTGTCTTTGGCTAAGAGCAGCAATAAATCCACGTCCTCCTTTCTACTCACCATCACCCACTAATAATACAGTCGTGGCTAAATACATTTTCTGCTCATCTGGCCTTTACACTTGGCAAGTGATACAGCATGTTTGACATTTCTGAATAAATGGAATGAGAACTGGGTAGTTAGCACGGATATAGCTGAACAGAAAAAGTAAAAGCCTTCTCCTTCAAAATATTTAGAAAATTCAAAGGCAAATACATCACTGTATTTATAGTACATATATATATGTATCTATAGTGGGGATGAAAAGTGATCCTTGGAAGGCGGGAATTGCAGTGTAGAAATGCAAAAGCAATGACTGCTTAGCACCGAAGAACATAAAAATATATAAATAAAATAGATTATAACTACCATGTATTAGGACAACATGAAAAATATCTTGTTTACAATCTAAATATCATCACCATCCATCTTTTCTAGGTGCTGGGGCGAAATGTGCGCGACTTCATTAATGAGCTGGACAACCTGCATGAGTACTTTCGCTTCTCCTTTCCCAAGGTGCAGCCGCCAAGCTTCTGCGTGGAGGAGGAGTGCGAGACGAGCCTCACACTGCACTATCGCAGCACCCGCAAGGGCTTCACTCAGTTTGTCAAAGGTAAAAAGAAGCACAGCAAGGGAAACACTGGGTGTTACAGTTTACCGCAGTGACAGGAAACTGGGTTTGATCCCCAATCCCAGGCCTCTCAGTAGTCGTTTACATACTCACCCACTGTTTATGTGGGTTTCTGCCCAATGCATGCTGGGATAGACTCTAGACTCATGAACATGAATGTGATTAACCAGAGTACAGATCATTCAGAGTACAGAGAATAAGCAGAGAAAAACTGAAATTGTCATGCCTTTGCCTAACACAGGTTCAGATACAACATACACTGTTTAAGGACTATATCAGTATTTTTGTATATTTTATCATTTACTTCAAATTGCACATTACTATAGTGTTTAAGGTGCTTTTAATGAATTCTCATACCTCCCTGGGCCAAAGGACTACATTCATTTTAGTACAAGTCAAAATTTCCAGAGAAACTTGCTTGAGACAGACAATAGATTTTAACTTATTGTAAACCAACTTAGACATACAAGACATGAATGAGGTTTTGACCTCATAGTTAGTTTCAAGTGTTTGAATTAAGAATAATAAATAACAGGTGAACTGGACCAATTATGCTTACACAAGCCCATTTTGACGGAATCCGTTATAAGCAAACGTTGCCCTCTGCACATGACCAGAATGTGTAATTGACTCCTGCAGGACAGCTCTCTCAAGTGGGACGGCAATTCTACAACACAGATATTGAAGTGGAAATCCTGTCTAAAGAGGAAACCGAGAAGATGACATACGTGGTATGTACTCTGGCTTCAAGTATCAGTGAGGCTGTCAAACGTCTGACCTTGACCCTGTGTCAGTTCTATCAGCATGGAAATGATGCCATCACCTCCAGGTGGAGTTCTTGTTTACACTCAGGCAGCAAGTGTTTACTGGATGGAGATAAGTGTTTATTGGGATGGGATTCAGGGTAAACTCTGAATTTACAGCTTAACAAATGTGAAATGTGCAACCTCATATTCCTGTTCACATACTGTCTAGCATGTTGTTTAAGAGTTTGTCCCATAAGCAGAAAATCACAGTTTTTACTCCTGAAACAGCCAGCAAGTCTGTCACTAACAAAAAAACCCAGAGTTGCTCTTATCATCATAACCGATTAGGTCCGATGGTATTCACATTTTTTTTATTTTGAGGCAATAAAGGGTTTAAAGGTTGTAACAAATGACTTTATTATTGTTTAGCTACTGTAACAACAAGGCTTAGGGTGAAGGCCAGATTCCACACAAGATTTTAACTGCAGACTTGATGAGTTATACCAAGTGAAAACCCACAACCTTTAATTAATGACTTGCTAACATGTGTAAAATTAGACCTGATTGCTTATTATAAGATGAGAAAGTCATTAATAAAGGGTTCTTCCATTATAATCCATCAGTTCTGCAAATCTAATTATTTAAAAGTTGTAATTAAAAAGATTTTGGTACAGATGCTGTGGATCTCGCTTCTCGTTTTCAAAGAGATGTGACAGCTTAGAACCAACTGCTTATAATTGATCTATAAAGAATAAATACATTGTGTATTTAGTCTTCACGCCGAGGAGCCAAAAAGCTGCATTTTTCATTTGACCTTAGCTTACAGCTACAGTAGCAGTATAACTTGTTCTGATGAGAAAAGCTACATGTAACAAGCAATTTTAAAAAGATAGCCGACCAACAAAGGCTTTCTTTAAATGTAAGTCACAAGTGCATGAAGGTGATAACTGAGACTAACATTCAAATTCATGTTCATTTCTTATGGGCAAATAGCTGTTGCTGGACAAACAACTTTTTCCAGACAGAACAGAAAATATTGTGTTAGGATATTTTCTCAACTGGTTGCTTTTGAAATGGGCTTTAAACAGATTTCAAAAGCTCTTGAAGTCTTGAAAATACATAAATGATTTTGGTTTATTGAGAAAAATATCCCAAACTGTATATTTTGTTATTCGAACAAACACAAAAATAATTGTGACTTGTATTTCAAAAGGTTCAATTAACTTCTCTACTCGTCCAGGTTTATAAGATGAACTTCGACAATGCTGCCTTCAAACACCGCATGCCCCAGCAGAAGACAGCACCGAGCTACGAGAAGCTGCCGATGAAGCGAGGTATCTTTTTTGACATGTTCCCCTTCAGTGTCATCTTCCGCCGGGACATGACTATGTACCGCATCGGTGACGGCCTCAAAGAGGTCTTCTCCGACTTACAGGGCAAGAAGGTCAACGAGGAGTTCACGCTGGTCAGACCCATGCTGGAGTTCAGCTGGGATAATGTGAGTTCGTAAGAAGTGGTCCAAATATCCTTGTCATATTTATGAATGATAAATTGCTCCTTTGCCTTGCTGACTTACCAAGCCACACAAATCTTTCCGCTTACTCTCATCAGATCTACACCCATTTGAACAATGTGTTTGAGCTGTTGTCCAAAGCAGTGGTGGAGAGCAAGCAGAAGGTCAACATCCCAAAACTGAACAAGGAGGAACCAGAGGAGAAGGAAGAGAATGAGAAAGCAAAGAGGGAAGAAGAAAGAGGTACCATTCTTTTATTTAAATGATTTCTTTCATTTCAAATGCATTATGTTGAAAGCATGTGTCACATCTTAGTCATTTATAAATGTCTGCAGTTCTTCCCCAATTTTTTGGGAGGATATTTTGAAATGAAGGAAGTATCTCATAATACTGGTTGGTGAAAGAAGCTTAGATGTGACAGCTGTTGCAATTAACACCTGCGAATAACTTGCTTTTAACAGATAAGGCTACAGAGCAGTTTATAACACAGTCACATCTGATTCTCTGCTGTCAGTTTTTCTCTGAATATGCCTCCATACATCCAATGGCCCAGAGATCAATTTGTTGTATTTTGCTAAGGATGCACCATCTCCACATTTATGCCCTTGTTAACTCATTTAACTCGCTCACTTAACACACAACCTGATTCATTCGGTCATACATCCTTTCACTGTTTCTGCTGCTGTCCTTCCATCAGAGCCGAAGGCAGTGGAGGAGATGAAGGGCACAGACCAAGAGTACAGCAGCGCTCTCACTCAATACAACAGCTCTGCCAACTCTGGAGGGGAAGATATTGAACTGCTGGCTTTCCAAACTGTCACTGGTCAGGACATTTCACACTAAAAATCAATTTCCACTTCTTGCTACTATGTTTTTTAAAGAGCCACAATCCTGTTGACCTGTCCCTTATGGTTCTTCCCAGGAAAGTGTAGTGAGACCATCTTTGAGGATATGCGTGAGCCTCCAAAGAAACCTCTCCATCTGAAGGGCCAGATGAAGTATGTCCCCCAGTGGGACTCCCTCATCTTCCTGGGGACACCCATGTAAGACCACAGCCTAGAGACTGACTATGTTTAATGGTTTTGACTTAGAACAGTAGTTTTCATGAGTCCAATTGGTTCTTAGAAACTGGGAGCCGACCCTGGGCCAGGTCCAATTTACAGTATATTTGGGCTGAAAGGGTCAGGTAGGGTCCCGTTCTACAGTCCCCTCCAAAAGTATTGGAACGGTAAGGCAAATTCCTTTGTTTTTGTTGTTCACTGAAGACATTTGGTTTTAAGATCAAAAGATGAGTATGAGACAAGAGTTCAGAATTTCAGCTCTCATTTCCTGGTATTCATATCTTGATGTGTTAAACAACTCAGGACATACCACCGTTGGTTTGAACCCACCCATTTTTCTAGTGAGCTAAACTATTGGAACATGTGACTGACAGATGTTTCTTGTTGCCCGGGTGTTGCCTTTTAGGTTGATTGTCCAAACATTAAATAGCTCTGCATGACTAGTCGAAGTCAAACCTATAAAGACTGCATTTCCTGTTAAAGAGGATAAACCAACATGAAGACCAGAGAGCTGTCTATGGGAGAAAAGCAAGCCACTGTCAAGCTGAGAAAAGAAGGAAAATCGAGTCACTGGACAAACATTGGGCATAGCAAGCACAACAAATTGGAACTTCCTGAAAAAGAAAAACTACTGGTGTACTGAGCAACAGACGTCCAACAGGTCGGTCAAAGAAAACAACAGCAGATGATGACAGAAATATGGTGAGAGCTGTGAAGAAAACCCCCCAAACAGGAAGTGACATCACCAACGAAGGCCGGATCGGGAAATCACAGCCGCAAAAGTTCTGGAACACAATCTTATGGACTGATGAGATCAAGATTAATCTCTAGCAAAGTGATGGAAAGGCCAGAGTGTGGAGAAAGAAAGGAACCGCTTATGATCCGAAGCATACAAGCTCATCTGTGAAGCATGGAGGAGGTGATGTCATGGCTTGGGCGTGCACGGCTGCTTCTGGAACAGGCTCACTAATATTTATTGATGATGGAACTGATGATGGTAGCAGCAGAATGAATTCAGAAGAGGACAGAAACATTTTGTCTGCCTATTTACGGAGAAATGCATTTCACCTCCTTAAGAGGAGACTGAAGGGAGAAACACCCCGAAACAAACAAGAACTGAAAGAAGCTGCGGTAAAAGCCTGGAATAGCATCACAAATGAAGAATGCAACAGTTTGGTGATGTCGATGGGTCGCAGGCTTGAGGCAGTTATTGCAAGCATGAGTTATGCCACCTAATATTAAGATTATTTGTTTCCATTACTTTTGCTCACCTAAGAATGCTGTGGTCTAATACAAACGGTGGTATGTCTGAGTTGTTTAACACATCTAGATGTGAATACCAGGAAATAAAAGAAAAAAGAACTCTTGTCTCATGCTCATCTTTTGATCTTAAACCCAAATGTCTTCAGTAAACAACAAAAACAAAGGAATTGGCCTTACCGTTCCAATACTTTTCGAGGGGACTGTATCTATTAATTTTCTGTTGCTGTCGTTTGATGTTAACGCTTACTTGACACCTAATCGGTTTCATATCCAAACATTTTCAGCAATACAGCTATAGTACTGTTACTTTCTTTGCAGGCTTACAAGTGTTAGATTTCCTTACATAAGTTTTACTGAGTAAAACACAGTAACATGTAATAATTGGAACAAAACAAAAGGTGAGAATGGTATTTTCTATGAAGAAGAGAAGCTAAAGCGTTACAGAGTGGTGAGTATGGCACAACTAGTGTATGTTGTTGTACTGATGAAATTAATGCTGTGGAAGTAGATTGGTGGTGTATGCTTAATTTATCATGTGAGCCATTACAGTACAGGTAATCTTCTTTTTTCCCCAGCCTATATTAAGGACAAGCCTTCAGTTGTTTTGTACAGACAGCAACCCACAACTATTTGAGAATTTAAGGTAATTTAAAGACTGCTCAGATGGATCAGTGTGTTAACCTGTCTGAATATAGTACTGAAAACTCAAGACACTTTTTTCACTTAATTCACATTGCAGAAAAAATTAATTTCTGTTCTCTGTCATTGCCTTTAATGTGTGTGTTGCCACCCTGTTTATTCAATACCAATTTGTTTCACTGAAATTAAGGTCACTTTCCCCACCAAATCGTATCTAATTTTGGAGACTGGATTTATGCTAATTTAGTGAATGAATACACATTCTCTTGTCTTTCTTTCCTTTTCCAGTCATTTCTTCTCCTTATTGTTACAGTATAGAGACAGTGGAGGACATGATAAAGATGGGTGTGTATGTCAATGATCTGAACCTGCATGACTCCAGCAGAGAGCTGATTTTAGCCGGGACACAACAATCGGCTGAGCTGCAGCTGGCCCTCGATCAGGTGAGGACTGAATCCTTTGTCTCCAGAGATAGAGCATCGTACAAACAAAGCAGATTCCTTTTCAACCAATCACAAACCAGCGGGCAGTTTGAGGTGGTTCATATTGCTTTATAAAATGTTCATAAGACTTGTGATTCAAAGCAGAAGTCATATTATATGATACACTGAGTGCACAAAATGTAAGAACTGCCAGTTCTCTCTATGAAACAGCCTGACCAAATGAGCCCAGGTGAAAGCTCTGCTCCCCTATTGATTTCACCCATTAAATCCACTTCAGTCATGCAGAGAGAGATGTGGATTAAGAGGATTAGAGGAGGCAAAGAGGGATCTTTGAGCTTTAAGAGAGGTGCGACTGTAACTGTAGACTCTTGTGTCCCATTTTCTGATCCTCTAGGAGCAACAGAAATATGCTCAGCTGCAGGAAATCATCAAGAAACTGGATGAAGAGAAGAAAAGAGGAGATTCTTTGCTGTATGCCATGATCCCTAAAGCTGTGGCCGACCGCCTCAGGAAGGGGATCACTGCACTGGAGACATGCCAGGTACAAGATGGTGCTGTTAACAAGGATAGCGGTACTGGGAAACCACAAAATATCTGAGCATCAGGTTCTGAAAAACTGCTAAATGGAGGCCATAGATTATTTTGTGTGCAATTGAGTTCTATCCTAGTAATATGTTGCTGTGATCATAGCACCCACTTTATTATAAAGGAAGCACACTTCCTTGCAATTCATGTACTTTCTGTTCCGTTGGAACAGAAAGTAACAAAAGGACAAGTTTGCGACCAATAGACGAATTACACTAGAGTAACTACACGAAGAGTGACAGTATTGTTGAGCAACTGGTTAACAATGCTGTGACATTTCATTTATTTATGGATCTTTACAACATCTAAATAACATGTCAAAGTTAGAACACTTATTTCCAACACGGTCCAAGAATGTGCAAGACATAAAGGTAAACTATTGTGATTCAAGATTGTACGATGTGTAAAAGACATGTCTTTTGTGTGGGAGACCTGGGTTCGATTCCCATTGCGAAACATCCACCAATGTCTCCCTGAGCAAAACACTTAACCCCTAGATGCTCTACCATATATAGCAATTGTAAGTTGCTTTGGATAAAAGCGTCAGCTAAATGAGTAAATGTACACGTAATGTTCACATGAGAAGAGTACCACAGAACAAAAAGACGTTTACTCCTCTTAGCTAAATGTGCAAAATAAAAACATAGATAAAACATGGATAATAACATAGAAAAACAACATGCATATCAAAAGACAATAAATAATTATTTCAATAGTTGGTGGCAGTTGAGTCATTATTGTTGAAATGTAGAGCGGAACAAATAACAGCAAATGCAGTGCAAAAGCCAGCAGTTGTCGAGCAAATACATCAAATATATAAGACACATCACAAAGAAAATTTTATAAATCAAAATTACATTAAAACTAACCAATAATGAATATATATCCACACCAAACTACAACAATAACTAACATCTAATTGATGACTAAAGGAACCTGTGGCTGAGTGACCCTGAGCTAGTCACTGGCACCTCTGGTATAGGCCCCTGGTGAATACAGTGCTGTTTGCTCACATTGTAAGATTTCCATAACTTTATGTTTGACTGTATTCCAGGTCTTCCCAGATGTGACCATCCTATTCAGCGACGTGGTCAAGTTTAACGAGATCTGCATCCACATCACACCCATGCAGGTGGTGGACATGCTTAATGAGATCTACATTGTCTTTGACACACTCAGCGAGAAGCACAACGTCTACAAGGTCAGTCCTAGAAAGCAGCACAGTCTGATGTACATGGTTCAGATGCTTTCAACTGTCTCGTGTATTCTGACAATATGTTTTTGACATTATTTTTTTTGCCTAAATTTTTTGCCCCAGAATGTAAAAATGATAACTAATGTTCTTTACATTTGACCAGTTTCCTACAGAGTATAAAATTCCAGCAGAATTTTCCTATTTCCTAAACCTCTGAAACAGCATTTTGAACACCATGCAAAATTTAAGTAAAACCTTCTACAGTATAAGTCTAACTGTAAAGTATAAATGTACTAAAAAACAGCTGAGATTTTAAACAGTATTTTAAAATACTAACACAAAACATTCTGGTGTTTCAAATTCTGATAAAGACGTTACACGTGCACACACACCTGGAAAATGCACTGAGATAACATTGAATGCGTGCTTGCCGTGATCACTGCCTTTGGTTATGCAGTGTCAAAAAATTCAGTTTACTTTCTTATCACAATTTAGAAATAGTCACTCTCCCTTCTGTTCAGGTGGAGACAATTCGTGATGCCTACATGGTGGTGGCGGGCGTGCCCAACAAGACCACCTTTCACGCACACCATATCTGCGACATGGCCCTGGACATGCTGAGCTCCATAGACCACCTTAAAGACCCCTCTACGGGAGATAACATCCAGATCAGAGTTGGTGAGCTGTGCAGCTGTCTGGCGCTTTAGTATCTTAGCCATGAAACAGCACTCAGATTATTTTGCAGTTTGGGGTTTTGCCTGTTGCTGGCCATTGTGAGGTCCCAGCTCAGCGTCAGCCAGCTGCGGTCTGTCATCAGTGCCTTTAAATTGATTTAGTTTCCACATCCTTGTACTGCAGACATTACCAGTTTGGGCTTTTTATCCACTCAACCACACCTTTAAGCCCACAAAAATATAATCGTGGAATGTTGGGTCACAACAGAAAGATTTTTCCTCAACCAGAGGACCCAGGTAAAGTATACAGATCAAAACACTGATTAGTTTTTGTCACAAGGGGTAACTGTTCTAACATTTACATTTAATTATTTAGCTAACACTTTTATGCAAAACAATTTACAATTGCTATATATGTCAGAGGTCGCACGCCTCTGGAGCAACTAGGGGTTAAGTGTCTTGCTCAGAGACACATTGGTGTCTCGCAGTGGATTCGAACCAGAGTCTCTCACATCAAAGGCACGTCTTATCCTCTGTTCCATCATGAGGCAGCTGGAAGTGAGGTCTGTGAATTGTAACAAAACATTTTAAATTAAAAGGAGCATTTAAATAGGTTGTGAGCCATAATTCCCTTCTGGAAACTGGCATTATCTGTGACAAACAAAAAAGTCATAACTGGGCATTAGAACCTATTTAACCCAACTACTCAGAGAAATGACCTGATCGCCACACAAAGTGACGAGTCAGTTGTCACTGTTCTAAACATACATTCATTCTAGTCTATAAACTGTTCATTCTGATCAGGGTTTTGGGGGCTGCAGCCTATCCCAGCATGCATTGGGTATTGTTTGTAATGTTTGAATTGTAGTTTCCATTCCAAACAGGAGAAAAGTTATATTGTCTGCAGGTTGAAGTTTTGATCCTCACTACTGGTTATAATGACAAAGTTGGAACTCAAGGGTTTGGATAAATGATGGCTGTGTGCAATTTAATTCACTACTATAAATGTAAACCAGTTTTTGCCAATAGGTGCAATAACAGACATGGGTTCAGACAGTTTATGAATAAATCAGCGCATGTTTGGTTTTATAAACAGTTTTTCCTCCCTCAGGTATCCACTCAGGTATGGTGGTGGCTGGTGTGGTGGGTCTGAAGATGCCTCGCTACTGTCTATTTGGTGACACTGTGAACACAGCCTCAAGGATGGAGAGCAATGGAGTGGTGACTACACTAACATATTTAATAACTCATAACCCAGCTAAATGTTCTAAATCACCCACTGTACTAGTATAAATAACTGCAATAACATTCATGATTTCCCTCAGTCACCTCATGTAGATCACTTTAGGATCTGTCTAATGACGCCATTGTGCATGCTGCAATTTAGTTAATGCAACAGGCTTACTTGATTTGCTTTCCAGTGCTTACAGTAATATAAGTTAATGTCATGTTTTGTGTTCTGTGATGAAAAGAAAATTAAAAAGGAAGGAGTTTTCAGGCTTAATTTCCCCACTACACATTCTCATAAAGGATGAAAACCTTGAATGAACTCTCATTTTAGAGTCCAGTAAGCAAAATGTTTTCACTTCCCTTCGATGATGTAAAAAGGTCTCAGTACAGATGGAGCTTGTATTTCAATACTCCGCACTTTAGCAGTAGTTTTCTGTATGTGCGTCTGTCTGAGCAGGGCATGCAGATACATATCAGTCAGACCACCAAAGACCACCTGGAACATGAGCCCTATATCATTGAGGAGAGGGGTAAAATCTTTGTAAAGGTGAGTGGTTATTATCAACCCCGGACACATACCTTTTGCTGGTCTATTTTGGCTTTCTCATCCATCATCCACTGACTGAGAAGTACATTAATACTTTAACGTGTCAGATTTTGACAGTCATATTGTGGTAATACTTCACCTGCCTTTGTTGGGAGAATATTACTGAAATTACTATATTGAGCCAATTCTGAGATATGTTGGACCTGCTAGTCCAAGTGTTTAAGATTTTTGATCAAAACAATGTATCTTCCAGGGCAAAGGCTACATGAAGACCTACTGGCTGAAAGGAAAGAAAGATCTATCGTTCAAGACCCCGGCAGAGCTGCGCTACAGCAGTGAACTGAAAGACTCTGAGGACAAGAGCTCTAATGGGTGAGTAGACAAAAGCAGAGCAGTCAGCACCAAATAATCACTTCTTATCTGTACACAGAGTGGACTAAGGATGCCTCCTGTTGCTTTACTCAGCGCTGTGCTTTCCCCCCCTGCAGCACCAGACAGCAAGCAAACTGAAAGGTTGTTTTAGGGGTTTTTGTTTGCTTGAAGGAGTCATGCTGACCACCAAAAATAAAATTCACTCAGATGGGTCAGTGCAACCCCCCCCCCCCAAAAAAAAACGCCCAATAAATAAAAAAGGCGCGGGCGAGACAAACACAGCACAAAGTCCCTTTAGTCTGATATCAAGCTGTTGAGATTTATTTTTCATTAAACAAGAAATGATTCTTCCACTTGTTCCCAGGGCAGTTTACCTTGTTTTTTGTTGGAAAATAGGTGTCACTCTTCAAAAACAGAAAAGGGGGAACTGCATTAGTGCACTAGTAACATGGAAATTATACTGTTCTGGAAAAAGAAATAGTTGGAATAGCAAACCCTGAGGAAAGATTTATTTGCTTATTTGAAAATGATTATTCTAGGCTAAATTATTTTCTAAGGATTTTTCTGCAGTGTGAGAGAAGCTTCTGGCAGGAAGAGAGACTAGTGGATTTACAACTATCATCTCTGGGGCAAAAAGCAAAAATGTTTTTTTGACAGCACGATTACAAATATACTAAACCATGTTTTTTTTAATGTCTTTTGTGAATCACTGAGAAACTCTACTAACGTGTAACTGCACTAGTTCCACAAGCACCAATGCCAAACGCATGGCATCCAACCTCCACATCACCAGCAGTGAAGAGCAAGCAGAAGGGAAGCCCAGCCCCACTGATCTCCCTATGGACACCCTGCCCCCACCAGAGGCCGCTAACGAGCCCCCCGCCATTTCAACCGAGCCTCAGGAGAAGGAGAAAGCCAAAAAGACTAAGAACAACAAGGGGACCAAGTTGGATGTGCCCCAGGGAAACGCAATGCCAGAGTCTTTGCCGCCCACAGACGGGCTGGAGAACCCGGGTCCTTTACTCAACAACAAGAGAAACAGCTTCAGGCAGCAGTACACCAAGCTGCCCACCAACCTTCCCATGCGCAGCGCCGCCTGCTCCATTCTGTGAGCAGATGGTTGTAGTGTGAGATTACAAGACAACTTCAACATGTGACAAGGGTATGATGCTAAAAATATCATTGAAGGGCCAAGAAAAGCAAGCATTTCAACGTTTTCAATATTTATGGTTACTGACAATCTGCAGTTTTACTAGCCAAGGGGCTTTGAGAGACATAGGCGTATACAACGTTTGTCAACTTAAACTGAAGACCAACACTTCAATTTTCAACTGTCCCCACTAAAGCCCACTTGTATTAAGGTAAACTTTGTGCGACATGTAAGGCTCCAAGTACTTGATAATTGAGTGTTATCTTTGCTTAACAAAAAAAACCCTCTGCACTCAAAGTCACTGAATTTAAGTATGTTGTTTCTTATTTCATTGATTCCATGCATCAAAGGATATGTCTGGTATAGAAATAGGGAAAGTAAATTTTTTTAAGATCAGTTATGTCAACACTCTGAATACTTATAATGTATAGGTTTCACAACATGGCCTCTTTAGGTTGACTGTTAAAAAAAAGGAAGTACAATGACACAAACGGCACATGCACAGAGAAACAGAGAACTTCAAAATTATACGACAGCCACGACAAATAATTCTGATACTCTTCTGATATGCTATTTGCTGTATTATTGTACAGCTCTACAAGCCATTCATGAAGGTACTGCTATTACTGATACATGAATTCTGTTCAAATGTATAATGACAACAAATTACAAGATGTTTTGGAAAATTAAAGTGAGCCATTTTGTGACAGGGCTTACACGGTTTTTAACAGATGCGGGAGTGTCCACTGAAAAACTAATTCTATGGATGCTTCATTTAATTCACTGAGAGTAGACATCTTCAGAGGTTGTATTTTATTTTGTTTAAACTTGGAATATGGTAAATTCAATAGGCATTTGGCTAGACCTTCACCACATTGTCTGAAAGAGTTCTGGTTCTACTTACTGTATGTACCTGACTGCATTTGTTTCACTGTATGATAGCATTTATTTATATAAAACTGTATGTACAGCCACTAAAAGGGTTTTTCGTTTTTTGTAATTAGGTTGACGCTCGTACTAATTTACTGGTTTTAGTGGTTGGCGGTTTTAACCTATTGGGAAAATCTTTTGAAATTGCAAACCTTAAAAATCTAAATTTTGTCATGTGTTACCATTGTTGTTTGATTTACTGATTATTTATATGAATTCATCTATCGTTTAGTGAAGAAAACAGTTAAAAAATGCCTATAACAATTCCCAAGTAAAAGTACAGGAGCCCACACAGGTCCACAGAGGATGTGACTGAATGATCCTTTTTCAGTGCCATCAGTAGACACTGCAATGTCTTTGAATAGCCACTAGGAGGTGATGAAATAACTACAAGTTAATGAATAAATTCATTAGTTAATAAACAGGGACTTGGAAAAATAAGTGATTTACATTATTTTCTGGTTCCCTGAGGATGTTCTCATCTAAAAAGACAAGTGCAATACAAGGGTTTCATATCTGATCATGCCATCGGGGGGTGAGCTGAGTGAATCCCCGTTAGCTGCAGACAGATCAAATTAAATATCTGGCATCCCCTCAACCAGCATCTGTTCTCACCATCTATTTTATAAAGCTGCAAATGGAAAGACAACACGAGTGCAGAAAGCACCTAAGCTCACCAAATCCTCCATCCAATTCAGACTCCAAATCTTCAGGCACAATTCCCTGACCTCAGTGGTTATGAGGTCAGTTATTCCCGTCTTAGTCATCTGGTGATAACACACTGCCATTATGTTAGTGACTGTGTGTGTGTGTGTGTGTGTAAGGTTGGAGGCTAAAGGTCTATGTGATCTTTTAATGAAAGATAAGTGACTTAATTGAAGTTCTTCTTATTTTCTCATAACCAAAAGAGGCAAGTGTGTAAGATGTGTACAGCGGTGACCGGTAAGAGCTCATTTCAAGGCGAGTGTGCTCGTTCACTACGCTCACTTATACACACAAACACAGCCAAGTATGCACACTCATACACACAAATACAGCTGAGTGCTCCCTGCTGATGTTTCCTTGTGAGATGTCATTACATGATAAAGAGGAAGCTATCAGGAAACCGCTTAAGCACTACTTCCTGTCTGTTGCCACGGAGACAGACCTCATTCTGCAGTTGCAAAGATTACCATGACTTTACTCTGGTTAATTTCTTGCAGAACGGCTGAGTGGAAAGCAAAACACAGAGGCAGGTGTGTTTCGCTCTACACCGCACACTGGTGGGCTGGTCTCCTGTCCAGGCACTCCTTAGTCCAGCTAGGTCTCAGTGTGACCTTTAACTCCCACATCTGACAGCAATTAACATTTGCGAGAGTGCATTGGACTGGTCTTTTTTGAAAGAGCTGAGCTTCAGCCAACAGCCCTTCAGCACAGCTGGTTGCCATTCAGATAAACCTACAGAGAAACAAAGTGTGTTAGAATCAGGGAACACTTCCTCATTCGAAATGAATCGTTGAATTCAGACCTGCAGCCATGTAGCAGTAATTGCCAAGACTGATTGCTCTGTTGTGAACAATCACAGGCTCAATACTGGTTACTCTGGATTATATCCTATATTACCCTCATCTATATTTACATTTCACTCACTCAAATTAGACTTTCAAAGGTTCACAAGTTTCATGGCAACCAGCTCAAACAAAGCTTCATTCATAAGAGTGATAGTGGCCTTTAGATTTGATTTGCCTACGCTGTGATTATAATGAAACTCACCACTCTAGGGGGAATGACTTTATGAAGTTTATTTTTCACTATGATTAATTATCAGGCACAAAGTGCACCATTTTACATGATTATGATGTCAATGTCACAAATTTAGTCAAGTGGCTTTTATCTGCACTTAGTTCAATTTGGTTTGTCATTTCAGCAAAAAAAAAAAAACCTTGAATAAAATACAATCGCTTCAGAACTAAAAACTTCACAGCATCAATACACACACACAATATACACACCTAAAGTGTAAAAAAACGTAATAGGCTAACAACATCTAAACACCTATTGAAAAGGCACAAATAAAAAAATCTTAGAAAATAATATTGTTAAGCGCATATGAGAATTTTAAATGTTTAAACAAACAAAATATAGCATTACAATCGAATATAAGAGGCAGATAATACACAGATGAAAACAGACTTGACACTGACACACAGAGTGGGATGAAAGTATTTAGTAACTACTCCTACTACTTAGTTACTGAGTAGTAGATACACAGAGGGAGGGGGACACGGTGCTCAGCGATACTGACAGGAGCTACATTCCAATGAAGGTGAACACAAAAAAGGGGCTAAGCCACTCCCTTTTCAACTGGCTGCATCACTGGATTATTGCTGAATTCTTTCTGGGGGTTTCACTTGTCAGAACAAGCAGAGGCACAACGTCAGCAATACAGAGGAGCTGGGGAGAGACAGATTCAGAGAGTGTGACCAGATGTGATGAGCAAGGGCAAGAGAGAAATGTGGTTTTAAAGAGTTTGAATTTGAATTTCAGAGGGAAACAGATAGAGAAGCTAGAGAGAGAGAGAGACAGAAACAGAGAGAGAGAGACACTGAGGGGTGTGTCATAGCAATTTAGTTCCTCAAGGAAGTACAACTCAACATTATCTTAAGACAGGGTGGCGGCACTGACAGAAGCGCTGCAGGAGGGCTGTTTTTTGAGTTTTGGTTCAGATTGTAGTGAAGATGAAGGGATCTCATTAAATCAACTGGCCTGTGCTCTCAACTAAGACACAGAGCAGAGAGAGAGAGAGAGAGAGAGAGAGAGAGAGAGAGAGAGAGAGAGAGAGAGAGAGAGAGATATCTGACACAGACCAGGAGGGAGGGGGACTCAGCACACAGACTTTCAGGTAAGACACTTCTGCCGTGTTCATGTGCCAGTAAAAAGAAATCCTCTGGGCACATTCAAGTGTTATATGTTCCTTTTGGTGTTCTTGGAAAAACAGAATGTTTATTGTTGGCACCCGGAAGAGACAGACTGAGTCGAGAGATGATTGGAACAAATTGTTTGACTTCTGTCCACTTCCCCATCTTGAGCGCAAGTTGGGAGATCTGCATGTACGCTCGCAGTCATGCTGGAACAAGTACAGTGACATGCACAGATGTAGAGCTCAAACTTTTGTTTGCACATGCTGGGAGTTGCTCAACTCAAATCTCAGGGCAGTGGACTTTCCCGTCTTCACTGGCCTACTTTGATTTGAAGCACTGTAAGTCAGGGACAAGACAGTGAAAGGGCGCGATGTCACTCACATTGCGGTGCGGATACAGAGGGACAAGTACAACCTGTGGGGCCTCTGCTGATGACACCCCGCCATTTAGCCAACTGCTGTCTGTTTCGCTTCCCTTTTCAGGCATTGTAGATGGGTAACAGGGTTGAGCAACAAATGACAATTCAAAGGAGTTGTGCAATGTTGAAAGAGAAACTGCAATATTTGCAAAATTTCAAAATACTTTGTCTGTAACCAAAAAGGTTCACGGAGAAATGTTTGTCGAAACAAAGGATTTTTAATCCTTAATCCTTACAAGTTACACAAGAAGTTAAAGTTAACAATACACAGCAACAACCTTAAGCCCTGTTACCACCCAGTTCCAAACACAGTTGAAGTGACACTTCATCCTGGCACCCTCGTCATCTTGCACAAGCTGCTGTCTAAGACTCAGAAATCCTGTAGCTGTACGGTTAGTGTTAAATTCTCTTTGGTTCATCATCTGGAAACAGTAGGTTTCTACAACCATCCTTGTTGCTCAGTGATGAATTTTCAACAATTGCCTCCTTGTTTTCATCTGATTGAGTGCCATGGCTTTTTTGTCTTTTTTTTCTGGAAAATTCTCATTGTTCAATCTGATCAAAGGCTGCGGGCAGCTAAAAGACCTAACCCCCTCCTCTCAGTCTCTCCAGCTGCAACTAGGCCTACCCAGCCCCAAACCTGGTGATGAAAGTCAGTGAGGATGTCTATCTGTCAAGCTCATTGTAATGTCACCCGGCTGCTCTCTAATAACAGTACAAGACGCATTTTGATTGGCTGAGTCAAAAGGGGCTTCATGAATCCCCTCTAAGACCTGTGAGAGGATTTAGCTTCTTACTTACACATGCATATCCACATGCTGGAAAGGGCAGGGACACAAGCACACAAATAAAAAAAATCCCACACATTCTTTTATTTGCAAAAATATCTGAGCACAAAAACACCACTTTTACTCAAAAAATGCACAAGTTCAAACATGAACACAAACACTGAGGCTCGACGCTGCAGTCATCTCAGGAATGCTAAATATTTACCTCTCTCCTGCCTGCCTGGATGGCTCCACCAATCAGCGCGCTCCCGTTCACTGCCCATTAACCTAACGTTTATAGATGGGGTCTTGATCGCCTGGCAGTAACTCTGAAACCAGGTATGACCACCTCTATTGTTGTAGCTCCACCTCTGCCATGTTATTTTTCATTTTGTTCTTCCAACAGTATTAGGTCTCACGCAGTATACAGGTGCAACTAGGAGGGAAACAAACACTTGATCATGTAATGCAGTCACTCCCGGGTGGATGTCAACAACGAAACAACGCTTAAAAGCCCTCTTCAATCCATCTGTACCACAAAATTGATGCTCAACATTGCAAGTATCCTCGACGTGACCTACTGAATGACGTCCATTACACAAAAGTGGTTTCATGGCAATGCGCTGCTGTAACACAGAAATGTTTCAATGGACTCCAAACAGCCTCAACCCCCCTGATAGATCTGCATAAAATAAACAATGTACATGCACAAAAAGCCAAGCAGCGAGTCATCTCCAGCTGCAGAGTAACATTTGCCAATGTGGAATACAGGCCGATGACTACACACTGTGCATGTCCCTCAAATCCCTGTAGACTTTTTAGCAAATAAATGAGATTGAAGCATGAATCTGAAATAGTTGTCATGCTGCTCCACTTCCATTATCACCGTTAAGGGAAATTAATCCAATGAATGTTCTTTAATTCCCCACAGGGAACCCAAAGCTTTTGTAACAAAGCGAGCTATTATAAATCTGACATTTTGTTCAAAATGGTTGTACATGTAAAATGGAACCTAGTGAGATCTCCTATAAAAGTTAGCTTATTATGGATGTTGCAGCTGGGTTCGGGATGCACACCAGGGATGGGGAGAGTCACAGAGAGAGCTGCCTATTTGCATGATATGATCATTAATGTGAATGGATCACTTTTTCATTTATTAGTGAGCTGTGGAGTCATTTGCAGACAGTGCTGACTGTGCATCACTGGAGTTGGACAGAGAATATAGAACGAGAATATCATTTCAATAACGCTGTCAAATAACAACAGACATGGCAGAAAACACATTAAAGAAGCCATCAAGCCATGATTTAATTGACAGCTTACAGACAATATGCTGTTGCTAATGCACAGTGTTTTTTCAACAATAGAGTAACTGTTGTTTTACCCAAAGGCTTAACCCAGGAAAGTTGTTAAGGTAGCCACTGGGCTCGGAGTGCTCTCTTTACTGATTGCACTGACGCAATCTGGAAACAGCAGGCATGGACCTGCCTCAGCTATGCAGCCTACCTGCTTTAAAATACTTGTCCACACAGGCCAGAAGTAAGATTTAGTGCAGAAAGTTCCGCTGAAAGATGCTCATTATCTGTTCTTAGAATATGAGGTCTATTTGTACACTCCAGCTCTATAAAATGTGTCCACATAGGGCCAAATTGAACACAGGAAGTAGGAGAGGATACACAGCAGTCTCAGTGGCTTTGATGCATGCAAGATATATTGTATGTATTTGCTGATTCTGTCTTACTCCTTGACAGTACTTTGTGTTAAGGTAAAGGAGGAGTTTAGCATTAAAATAAGACTTAAGTTGTTATTTATATGTGTGTTTGTGGGACTTATCAAGCGCAAATATTCTACAAGGACACATATTTGCCTCATCTGTGTTAAGAGTCATGTTACACTGATTCTTTCAATCTTACTGATGTGGGAATTAACCTTATTTTGCTTTCTAGTCTTTGTACGCTTCTCTAATAAGAACATCAGCTAAATAAAATGTAATTTTTCTCTGTGATTGATACACTCCTAATCTGCCTGCTTTCATGTGAGAGAGATTAGAGGAATATTAAACGTAATTAAAAAGGAATTAATTCAAACTTTGTTGACAATCAAAGATAAACAGTGGATTCTGTAGTTGTGTCATAGCATGCTGAATGCATGCTGATGGCC